CAAAACAGCGATCAATGATCACTAAATTTCTCTCTGACATCTCTTTTCATGAACACTTCCACCTGTCAAAAAATCAAAACTGAAATCCTATGAGTATGGACGTTATCTTACATTAAGCGTTTCCTCTCCATTGACGCCCATTATAAGGAAAAGGCTTAACGTGGCTTAATGTTCCAAAATAGTGTCCAATGACCACCACATTTGTCTGACATCTCACATGTCATACACACCGTCTCCTATCAAAAAAGCAAAACTAAAATCGAGGGAATATGGTAGTTAAGCCGACGTTTCGTTCAGCGCTGTCCTCTCAGTTTTGCTTTTTTGTTAGTTTGGAAAAATTAACTACGAAGCGTTTTCCTTATAATGGGCGTCAATGGAGAGTTTTGCTTTTTTGATAGGAGATAGTTGCAGTAGTCAAGGTGGGAGATGACTAGTGTTTGAACTAGGAGCTGGGTTGCTTGTTGGGTAAGGAAAGGGCGGATCCTCCTGATGTTGTACACGTAGAATCTGCAGGACTGGGTGACCGCTGCAATGTGGCTTGAGAAGGTTAGCTGATCGTTCAGGGTCACGCCCAGGTTGTTGGCTGACTTGGAGGGGGTCACCACAGAACCCTCAATGGTGATCGGAGCATTGATCGTTGGCGAGCTCTTTGCTGCAAAAAAGAGAAGCTCAGTCTTCTCCAGATTGAGCTTTAGATGGTTAGCGGACATCCAGGAGGCAATGTTGGCTAGGCAGGCTGAAATGCGTGGCTGGACCTGAGAGTTCGAGGAGGAGAAAGAGAAGAATAACTGTGTGTCATCTGCGTAGCAGTGGTAGGAAAGACCATGGGCAGCGATAACCTGTCCAAGTGATTTAGTGTAAAGGGAGAAAAGGAGTGGGCCAAGTACGGAACCTTGTGGGACCCCGGTCGGGAAAGGGCAGGGGCAGGAGACTGATTCCCTCCAAGATACCTGATAGGAACGGTCAGACAGGTAGGATTCAATCCATGTGAGTGCAGATCCTGAGAAGACCATCCCAGCAAGGGACGAGAGAAGAATCTGGTGGTTCACAGTGTTGAACGCTGCGGAGAGGTCAAGCAGTATGGAGACAGAGCTCTGGCCAAGTGAAGCGCTTCTGTGACTGCGAGGAGGGTAGTCTCAGTGGAGTGGCCGGCTTTGAATCCCAACTGGTTGTTAGTTTCTTATTTCAGTTCATGGATGTAAATATGGACCTAAGTTCAAAAGAAAATGTGAAGGTCGGCCACAGTATAAAATATGAAATGTAAAAGAAAAAGGAAGTGCTTTGCTCACTTCGCTTTTCTTGAGTATCAGTGGACCTACATGCATGTTTTGAGGATAATTCATTACAGTCTCACAGAAACTGACCATTGACATGAGTCCCTACACATAGAACTCAAATTTTGATGTGCTTAATGCTAATTCACAAAGCAACCACCAAAAGAAAAAAAGACAAAATGATGACTGTAAAATTTGCTAAAATTTTCTTCAGCAATTTCACCAGTAGAGGGCGCTTGCATTATGCATGATATGATTTAGTGGCGTTGCAAAAGTGTCTAGCCAGTATGTAACCTCTTCAGCCTGGCCATGGCTCACTACTTTGTCATCTTCGCACTCTTTAGTTTTTCTCTGGCTGTGATTATAGTCTAGATTATACTCACATTCTAGCATGACATTTTTCATACCATGCACCCTACATCAGCAGTATATATAGTTAGTTCATCCAAATTTCTTTTATATTCATATGTTTCTCTGAAATAAAGATGGGGGATTACAACAAAGATTGGATACCTTTTTTCAGGTTAACATTTAATCATTTTGAAAAATGTATACTTGCTGTGAAGTTCGTTTGCTCTTTCAGGGAAATCAGCGAAAAGAGGCTAAATAGTAATATAAAATTCGCTTGTAAAGGTTCCAAGTTCACTACAACTGTGATCTGTTTTACCACAAACTTTACAATCCTGCTCTACAAAAAAATACAACCTTTAAAATAACAAAAATAAAAATAACAAATAAAATACTTTCCCTTCACCGACCACAGCTAAGATGCAGCCTTCAGCTCTTCTCCACTGACTTGTGAAGTGGGGTGGGGAGTTTGGTTCTTGATAAGTAATTTTTGCTCTGAATGTCACTCAGAATCAGTTTTTTAGCAATGCCACTACAATTCATTTCTGAATGAGAAGAATCAGCGCTCAGATTAATTTAAAAGGCTTGATGAAGCTACTTAACCATTACTGTCAAGCTTGATTTGGCTTCATCATGCTTTTTGGCTGTGTGCATCTATAACCCAGAGAGTTTGGGTGATCTTGTACACCCCAATAGGTGTACAAGAGCATCTGCATAGAGCATCTGTATTAATCTTGTAAACCAGTTCTACACCATGGGTGCAACCACACCTTATGTTCTGCCCCTCTAAACCTCCCTCAGCATTCATGCTCCAAAGCTGATTCTTTTATTTTTTCTGAGGAGGTAAAATGACCGCTTGTTAAATCCAAAACCTGGATAATCTGTAGAGGGTGGTAATCATACTCGCCACTCTCATGTCGGATCAGTTAAAGTATCCACTGTGCTTCCTCTGTACTGTTCTTGACTCACAATTATAGGCAGAAGCTTCACCCCAGACAGGCAGGGGTGACAAGCAGATACAACACCATTGGGCTCTAAAAGAATGAACCACAAGTCATGACCTTGAAGAGTTACAGTATGGCCTCATTGGGGGAAACAGCTATCTCCCCAGGGTCCTGTCAGTTGACTGTGCATCTGGTCGCGGAGACAGAAAAAAAAGGTGCTGCAAAGGATGAGCTAAGTATGAAGGAAGTTAAACAAGAAGTATGATTTAGGTACATATAAATGTCTTCAAAGGAAACAAAATGATTAAAGAAAAGCGCATTAAATTTCAAGTTAAGATAATTCTCTGGGCTTTATCAATGACTTTGTGTGGCCTGAGGGTTGTTGGGGCAGTGGATGTGCAACTAAAATTCTGCATCTCTGCAGTTTCCCAACCAGGGGTTTAAAAGTTACTCGAATTGCCACAAGGCAGACAGCACCCTTCAGAGCTACTGGAAGCTGTCCCCCCAGAACTGAAAATGCTGGAGCAACATGCCCAGGACCTGGACATATACTTCAAAAATTGTACCTTTAATGCACTAATCAATTTCTATAAAAAAAAATTAAGTCAGAAAGTCAAAAATCAATTTGTATAAAAGAAGCAACCTAGGTAGCTAAGTTAGCTCTGGCACTATCTAGCTGCTATGGATGAACTAAGAGGTGTGTCATATTGACCCCGCACAGGACCCAAGTGAGTCCATTGGATAAGTGCTAGCGAATGATCGCTGACTAGCACCTGTGACACCTGTGGCTATTAGCGTTGTTGTCCTTGGTTGCATAAAGAGCAGGAGGAACAATCAGGGAGCATTTGTTTGTTTGTTTTTGTTGATCTTTGTTAGTTTGTTTTGTGTATCAGTGACCACTTACTAAGAACCTTACAGGACGGTCTGTAGGCGAGGGAAATGGGCATCATAAGAAGCAGAAAACCTTCCATGGTGAAACACACGTATGCTTATACTTGTCACTAGTGGGATTTTTTCAAGTAGGAATATACTTGCCTTAACGTGTGCAGTAATATGGAGTGACTGCATTTTTAATAAACTTTGAGAAATTCACCACAAAATTTCCTTGTGCTGACAGCCAGGTTTGGTGCTCTAAGCCAAAGACCCAGCCCAGTCAAACAAGAGTTTTTGTATTGTTCCCATGTAATAAACCTTGGCACTTACCTTTACTCTGGTGTGTTGCTCCTTTAGTTTGATAACAGAATGGGGATGTCCCAAATTAGATTGGTTTCCCTTCCACACTAAAAATATTGGGTGGTGTAGCTGAGACACAGTACCCAGTGCCACACTACCTTTGGTGGCCTGATGCTGATATTTCCAGTCTTTGCGAATCGTTCACAATATAACAACTAAATGACCTAATTAATTAAATTACACTTACACTCAAAACTGTAATTTTTTGGTGTCCTTTTAACTAGCTAGGTGGTGATGTAATGTAATAATATAGCAGACTAATTTTTTGGCATAATAGAGGACATTTTATTTTATTAATAAAGCTTATAGTAAATTCTGGCTCTGGCTTGAGATTTAGATATGTCATGACAATTTAAAATTACATAGAACCGTTTTATAAAAGAAATAATACATGCAGGGTGTGTGTTATTGTGATTATTGGAACTCACTGATGCAAACAGCATTATATTTAGCAATTGGATCACTACAGTGCCAACAATCACAGGAAGCACAGACCCTCTAATGTGTTTTTGCTTTAATAGCCTAGTTGTATTTCAGTGTGTTTCATATAAAATTGCAATTAAGCAGGAGCTGAATGGTGAATAATTCATAATTGTGCATCTGTAACATCAGAACTACTCTCTCCCACATACTGTGCTCCTGCAAGTCGGCTTGTTTCTCCTCATTTTCTTGGGTCCATGATTGCACCACATCACCTAAAGTACACTGTGTATGTGTATGTCTTGGTCAGTACGCCAAGTTATATTGGGTAGTAAGAGTCAATATTTTGTCACAGTAGCACTGTTTACACTGCATAACCAAAGACAATAAAATCTGGCCATGCCAAGAGTTTTCATCGGGTGTCCAGTGTGATCGTATACGTACAATTGGATGCCACTGACTGTGTCATGTGCGAGTAAAAATACCAGATCCTCACTAAGTCAATACTTCACCATGATTTCACTACAATCTCGAAGATTGGCCTGCAATGAGTAAATAGTGGCAAAATTGCTCAAAAATTGTTGTGTACTCCTGGCCCTATAGAGGTCATAGGAGCAATTCAGACGTTGCTGATGTTGTCACACTGTAGAAGAGAGGACGACAGATCCTTGATTATGTGATAAAGTTCTCTGCAACTTTGAAATATTGTTGGTGACTAGAAGAAAAATCAATCTTAAAATCGTTGTCTTGTGTATTCGCAACTCCAGTGAGATCTATGGGCGGCAGTGTAGCATAGTGGTTAAGGAGCAGGACTCGTAACCAAAAGGTTGCCGGTTCGATCCCCGCTGGGACACTGCTGCTGTACCCTTGGGCAAGGTACTTAACCCACAATTGCCTCAGTAAAATATCCAGCTGTATAAATGGATATCATTGTAAAAGAACTGTAACCTAGGTAAGTCGCTTTGGATAAATGCGTCTGCCAAATGAATAAATGTAAATGTAAATCTACACAGATCCATGAAAGTAAATAGAAACTTGGAGAGATGTGTCAGGAACACAGCTCTTTGATATCTCTGTGCAAGAGTTACCATGACAGAAGCAAAAAACACTAGAAAAACTGCTAGATTGTGTCAGGATTTCAACAACTTGATGAGTGAACACTATACAAGCTAGCCAAAAGCTAACAATGACAATGACATTTCTAGCCTGATAAGCACAGAGACAGGATGACAGCACAGAAATATCTCCACCTGCACATACCTGCATGCGAGTGTGTAAGGGAGAGTGGGTAGCTAGCCAGACAAGTGTAAATAATGGAATTCATATGGCAATGAGATCAAGTGCGTCTTTCAGTTATAGTATTTATTTTCAACATGGACATGGAACACAATTGAAGCTAAACACGTTAATACTCCAAAACAGAGCACTCTAGGGAATCAAAAAATCCTTATAGTGTTACCCCAACAGCTCTCTATTCGTGCTCTCTTGTGGACGAACTAAGTATAGTTACATACAATGACATCTTTTACATTACATTGTGTGTCATTAAGCAGATGCTCTTATTCAGAGAGACTTACGTAGGTAAGAATTTTGCATGTTATTCATACATACAGCTCAGGCAATTTACTGAGGCAATTCTGGATAATGTACCTTGCCCAGGGGTACAACAACAGTGTCACAGTGGGGAATCAAACCTGCAACCTTTCATTTACAAGCTCTGCTCCTTACCACTACACCATGCCGTCCACACAATGAAGTCTATTATCTATGCCCTCTAAGCCACTGAAAGGTCCAAACTCTCCTTTACTCTGTTGGGTTTTCAGTGCAATAATGCCACAATCATGGCAATACCCTTGTAATCTGTGGTCGTAATGATGTTGAAGAAACAATCACAAGTGGTGAAGTGTGAAGGCTACACAGTGCAATCACAGCAAGGTGTATTAAAGGCTTAAATCTAGCTGTGGTATTCAAAGAACATCAGGATCAGCTGTAACTGGCTGTTTTGGCAAAGTCTGAATGGCATTCCTAAACCAAATAATAATTAAAAATATTTTATATTAACATGAAAGGTCCATGCAATGTGCTTAATATGATGTTGACTAACAGTAAACATGTATTTAATTACAGTACCATTTCAAAAACCTATATAGTAGTTACCCATGAGCATCACAAATGACAATGTACAATGATGAGTGATCTAATTTTGTTAAATTGTTTTGGTTTTTGAATCTTTAGCAAATTGACAGCATAAAGCCCAACTAGCTATTCCAACATTCACTTGATTGATTTGCAATGGTTCCCACTCCAACTCACATACATGAAGTTTTTGGCTGTTGTTCTCAAAAATGGTGCTGAGTTGTGCAGTAAAATAATGGAGACCTGTAAGTGGTGCCAAAATAAAAGTGTTTTTAAAAAAAAAACAAACACAGATAAACATGATAGAATGGCTGCATGATAAAAGGCTGCATCAAAAAGTGAGCTTCTGTACAGTGGGAATACGATGACCTAATTTTTTTTGCTATTTTTTCATGCTGTTCTGTTCATAAAAGAAAGTGTCAAGTGCAAGAACTTCAGCTGAAATGACAATAACTGGAATGGGTTTGGGAAACATTAGTTATTATGCCTTCTCATAGAAAAGTAAAACAGTCAAAGAAACAATGAGTGGACAGAAAAGGTTACTTTACTTTAAATTCATTTTTTTCTTGTGAACCAGAGCGGCAGTGTTCTCAGAAGCGGACACTTCCCTTGCAATATACAAATTACAGAGGGTTTGTAGTAAGTTTATTATAATTTAGTAACTGCCCACCAGATGTCAACGTTGAGTCCTCTTCCCTTACCAAGGCTGGTTCTATACTATGGGGAGACAGCAAAAGCAGACACACAGAAACAGTAGAGTAATAACAAGGAGCATAGTGCTTCTCTGATACAACACTGTACACAAATTACTGGGGGGTACAGAACATTCCAAGAGAACAATGACAAAAACAGTTAAATAATGACAAATAATGACAACAGATTCCCATCATTAAAATTCCAAATTTACAATAATTAGTGGCAAGAGGGTTTTCAGGCAAACGTTTAATGGTGATAGGTTGGGGTATTGTCATGGAGAAATTTGGGTTAAAACCCAGAAGGGGCTTGAAAGCCACATACAATTGGGCACCGGGGTCCAGACTGTTGCCCACCACAATGGATAAGAGGGCTTTTCAGTTTCATGTCACATTTCAAAATGGATGATGACAGCCACAGCTGTTGCAGTAACAAGGGGTGTGTGGTGACGCAAAAAGTATTTCAAACAAAATATACAGTGTTACATAAGAAAGGCTGTGGAACCACACAAAACCTGTACTGGTTGGTAGATGCTGATATGCAGCATTTATTTAACTGACAAACAGACAGTAAAAATGGGTCAAGATCACCTTGGAGGCTTGCACAGACCTGAGTGGAACGACGGGCATACATGGACGGGGGGTGGACACTGCGCTGTCTGAATTGCTCTGAATTGTAATTCTGATTTGTGATTTCATACAGAGCATGCTTGAACTACTATGAGATTAGCCGGTTGAGTGAGAGTTTTCTTTAAAAAAAAAAAAAAATTTCCCGTTTTTCCTAAATCGGAATTGCTATTTTGCACTTTTGTCTCAAACTAACACCTACTACACTCATGCAAGACCTCTGAAGTGATATGGAATGCGATCCTCTAATAAATCTGCATGCAGCAATTGGCTATTTTTGCACCACAAGTCCATTTAAGGATGGGTGCACTGATATCATCCGAGTGGCTCGTTGGCCCCTGACCAGTCACAGGGTGCTTGAGAGTGGAGGGACAAGGGGACCCTGCTGACAAATCCACCTCTACGTTGGCAGAACAAAGCCAGTGTGTTCAGCCGCTCTGGGTTCCCAGTCATTTTTGGCTAATGACTTTGCCAGTTTCAAGTCTAGGCTATGAAATACACTTTAGCCAAGTCAGAAACCCCTACTGGGGTACAGTGGCTTTGAAATGTATTCAGACCCCTTCACTTTTTGCAAACTTTATTATGTTATCGACTTAATCTAAAATTGATTAAATATATTAGTTTGTCTGTTAATCTACAGACAATACCCCATAATGACAAAGCAAAAACAGTTTTTTTGGCAAATTTATTAAAAATCAAAAACTGAAGTATTAATTTATATAAGTATTCAGACCCTTTGCTATGGCATTCCAAAGTGAGCTCAGGTGCATCCTGTTTGCTTTGATTATCTTTGAGATGTCTCTAGAACTTGACTGGAGTCCACCTGTGGCAAATGGAATTGATTGGACATGATTTAGAAGGGAACACAAGGTCCCACAATTCACAGTGCATGTCAGATCAAAACCCAAACTATGTAGTCCAAGGAACTCTCTGTACACCTCTGCAATCAAATTCTGTTGAGGCATAGATCTGGGGTAGGGTTTAAAACCATTTCTAATGCTTTGACAGTTCCCAGGCGCACAGTGGACTTCACCATTGTGGAATGCAGGAAATCTGGAACCACCAGGACTCTTCCCAGAGCTGGCTATCCAGCTAAACTGTAGTGACTGGGCAAGAAGGGCCTTGGTCAGGGAGGTGACCAAGACCCCCAATGGCCACTCTAACAGAGTTTCAGAAGTTTTCTGCAGAGATGTGAGAACCTGCTGGAAAGACAACCATCTCAAAGTACTCCATCAATCAGGCCTTAATGATAGAATGGTGTGACTGTGACAAACCACTCCTGACTAAAGAGCATTTGACAGCCCATCTGCCAAACAGCTCTTAAAGGACTCTGAGGGCATGAGGAAAAGGATAAGACAAAAAATTAACTCTTTGGGTTGACCTCGAAGTGCTACATCTGGCAAAAAACAGGTACTGCACATCACCTGGCTAATACCATCCCTACTGTGTAGTATGGTGGTGATAGCATCATCTTATGAGGGTGCTTCTCAGTGGCAGGGACAGAGAAACTGGAATTGAGGGAAGGATGAATGCAGCCAAATACAGAGAGGTCCTTGAAGAAAACCTGCTGCAGAGTGCACACAACCTCAGACTGGGGCAAAGATTCACCTTTCAGCACAATAATGACCCAAAGCATACAGCCAAAACAAAACTGGAGTGGCTTCGAGAGAATGTCCTTGAGTGGCCCAGCAAAATTCCCTTTAATTGTAATAGTGGGATCATTTTCAAAAAATGTATCGGAATGGAATCAGATGTCAAAGTGATATTTGCTCTGCAAAACTACATTGATAGTAATCTAGGAAATAACAACACAATATTGTTAAATTAACTTCTGGTGATATTAAAAAAGTCCTGACCAAGAACAGATTATTGGGTCCAATAAGGATACTGATATTTGCACAGATACAGCAACCAATATTGTCATACTACATAAAATCAGCATATAACCTATATATGAGATACAGAAATATAGGCTGAACCACTGTTGCAGAGCCAATTTCACGTTTTCTAATGGGTTATTCAAAAGAATGAAAATGAGAGGCCTTCTGACTGGGTACCGCTGGCTTCCTGGCTTTTGTTTCTTTCTCGCTCTCATCATCTTGCTGCCATATATCATTATGGTACATTATGGGATGAAATCTGCAAAGGATAAGCTCTTATTCAAAACAACATCATTTTAACGTGATGTTAAGAAGACTCTCTTATCCACAGCATGAACAGATTTAAACACAATTAACTACAATTAAGTTGCAAGAGCTCAACTCCAGAGTGACTGTCATGGATCAAAGGGCTTAGTGGAAAGTAGTGTTGCTTAGCAAACATTCATTTGTACAGCATCTTAGAAATTATCTTAATACATTTAGCTAATAGGGTACACTACATTACATTATAGTTGCTAAAAAAA